TGTTCCTCATTTACATCAATAAGATTTTATGTTAGATGAAGCATGAGTGATCATTAAGCTTCACATCTCTACTAATTATGAATTTTGGTATCCTTGTTTCAATATACCATAACCTGTAACTGTTTACCCCAGACACATAACCAAGAAAAATACATTTTTGCACCCTTCCTTCAAGCTTACATGTACTAAATGAACATACTTAGGAAAACCAAAAATTGATAGATCAAAATAATTAGCAAGAGAATTAGACCATACCTCAATAGGGATTTTAACTCAATTGCAGTTAATGAAGATCAATACCAAGCCATAAAGATTGCTTAAGCCAAAATTCTTTTTAATAATTATATTCATGCATTATGAAAAATCATTTTAATGAGGTGTCATCCTCCCAATACAAAGTCATACAATGCCTTTTGATAAAATAGAAATAAGCTCCCACACATTAGAGTGAATATAATCAATCATACCTAATCCTACCCTTAGTCTTGTGGATAGTAGTGCTAAACTTGACTTTGGTTGCTTTCTATAGACACAACGTTCACAAAAGTCGAATTTACCAATTTTATTGTCGCCTAACAAATGACTCCTACTCAAAATAGACAATCCAACCTTACTCATATGCCACAAACAAGTAATATCTTATTTTATATTATGAGAAGATGATATAACAATAACACAATATGCCACAAACAAGTAATATCTTATTTTATATGATGAGAAGATGATATAACAATAAGACAAACACCTGTACTACCTTGTAGAAAGTAGAGATCATTGATAAACTTTTCTTTCATGATAATAAGATCACCTTTGAAGACTTTAATAATTCTACCTTCAATAGAAAACTTATACCCTTGGAAATCATGAATAATAAAATAAACAGATTTTTCTTCAAGTTTGGTATATGTAAAATATTATTTAAACTTCTCACAATATTGTCATGCATCTTGACTTGAACCATTTAAATGCCACAAACCTTGTAAGACATATTATTTCCAATAAGGACAACACCATTACTGATAGATTGGTAAGTAGTAAACCAATCTTGATTAGAACATGTCTTGCTAGGGAACCCAAAATTAATAATTCATGCATCACCCTTGTATCTTACCTAACTTTATCATTTTTTCCGAAGTGAAACTTACCTTAGATTTCTAACAAATACTAATAGTTTCTAAATTTTTGTTTTTTTATAGCCTTCATAGTTAGAATTCCTAATAGATATGGCGTGTTCCTAAATTAAAGAATATAGCATCCTTGTATCTTACTAAACTTTGTAAAAAAAATTTCCACATAAAACTTATCTTAGATTTGGAACAAATAAAAATAGTTTAAAATTTTTTTTCTTATACAACAATTCATAGTTAGAATTTCTAATACCTTTTCTTTCACTTCTCATGTCATGTAATCATCTCCTTCTTTCTTCCACTACAAATTCAGATATGATGTGTTCCTTAGTTTTTCTTCTTCCTTCCGTTACTGAACTAATTAATCAAATTAACAAAAAATAATTTAAATATAAAAATGTGTATTTCAAAATTTTAAAAAATAAAAAAATAATTAGAAAAAAAATTAAAAAGGGAAATGGAAGTTGAGCTTTAAAGCACAACTTCTATAAAAATAAAAATAAAATAAAATAATATAATCTAAGAAAGTATAGAAATGAAGAAATCCTTTGAAATAATGACGACTTCGGTCTTCATTAATTTCCATTCAAATAATCTTTGCATTGCACCACATTAGATACTCAACTCGTATTAAGTAAGCACAACTTTGATTAGTGCTAATTAATAATAGTTGAAGTCATGCTTGACATTAACAACTTCATCATGTATACATAAGTTGTGTTATTGGTATTCGACTTCACTTGCCCTATTCAGAAGTCATCTATAGCAAACATGACTTCTATCTAGTTGTTTCAACTCTAGATGGCCCTTCTTTCTTCTTCCTAAAGACTATTTACAATGAAGATTTTCGAAGGTTCAATAGTTACCAAGTTTGGTTCTTGTTAAGAGATTATATTTAGTTACCAATAACAACAATCTACTATGAATCCATACATATTATTTCAACCAAAATTCTTTTGACAATCCAACATTAGAAAGTATGCAACAAGCTCTCTTTAAAAGAGTTCTATTCATACCTTCTACAAAACGACTTTTGTTGAGGTGTCATCCTCACAAGACAATGTTGTATAATGTCTTCATTTTTTAAAATAACAAGTTAAATTATCCTTCACAAAACTCTAAACCATTGTCATTTTGAAGATACTAAATCTTTTTTCTAGTTTTGATTCTATATAAGCACTTTCCACTTCTTAAAGTGGGGGGTTAATTATGTTTTTAGTCCCTAAACTATTGGTCGTTTCTGGTTTTCGTCCCTCTTTCAAAATAAGGTACAATTTGGTTCTCATTCTTTTCGAAACATTCGTTTTAGTCCTCGGAATTTTGGTTTTAGTCCTCATTTTGTTGACTAAATGAGGACCAAATTTTTAACGGTGTTAGTTTTTGAGGACTAAAACGAACGTTTCGAAAAGAATGAGGACCAAATTGTACCTTATTTTGAAAGAGGGACGAAAACCAGAAACGACCAATAGTTTAGGGACTAAAAACATATTTAACCCTAAAGTGGGAAAGACACCATTTTTGTGCTTAATAACAAACATCCAAACTTTACTTCAATAATCATCAATAAAAATTGTATAGTATGTAGAATAAGCCGAACGATCAACATGAGCAACTGTTTGGTCTATCCCTTATGTGAATGGATTTAAGGACTAAAAACATATTTAACCCTAAAGTGGGAAAGACACCATTTTTGTGCTTAATAACAAACATCCAAACTTTACTTCAATAATCATCAATAAAAATTGTATAGTATGTAGAATAAGACGAACGATCAACATGAGCAACTGTTTGGTCTATCCCTTATGTGAATGGATTTAAGGACTAAAAACATATTTAACCCTAAAGTGGGAAAGACACCATTTTTGTGCTTAATAACAAACATCCAAACTTTACTTCAATAATCATCAATAAAAATTGTATAGTATGTAGAATAAGTCGAACGATCAACATGAGCAACTGTTTGGTCTATCCCTTATGTGAATGGATTTAAGTGTTGGGCCAGCGTTTAAGACATTGATGTTGGGCCAGCGTTTAAGTCATTAAAATTGGGCTAGAGTTTGATTAATAAATTAATAACAGAATGATTAAAGATATTGATAACTGATTACAAGATAGAGAAGTTGTTTATGAGTAACATCCCAGATTTAAAGGTAAGTTCGTTTTATTGGACCTGTGCCAGTTTAGGGTTCATGAAATAATTTATAAATATAAGGTTAAGATGCAAAGGTAAGTATGTTTTGCTAAAGTCCTAATACTTAATTGTGAGAAAAGGATCATTGATCACACGTCTAACTTGAGCGTCAGAGTGCCTTTTGTAGGTATCTCCCAATTCTGAACTTGAATTGAAGTGTTTGGAGGAGATTCAGAGATCAGAGAATAGGAAGACTACGACAAAAAATGTGTCTCTCGATCCCAATAATTATATACAGAAACAAAAATGAATAAGGACATAACACCGTCTTTTAAAAATTAGGACTCCTCAAATAACGAGTGAACATAATCAACCATACCCAACTTGACTCTAGTCTACTTCTCATATATACAATGTTCCAAAAAGACAAGTTTTGTCACCTAACAAAGACACTCGTTTAAAATAGACATTCCAACTTCACTCATACGTTGAGACACATATGTCCATCCTTTTATCAAATGGTGCACCTTTGAATTAAAAGTTACCTTTGAATAAAAATTCTAAAATTATTATTATTTCTAGGTAAGTCATAGGTAGTAAAAACAACTTATCTACACACGATTTTAATTCTTTTAAATCAAAAGTCGTAAACATAAAAAAGAGTTCAATTTAACTATATTTATACTGAAGTCGAATTGTTGTCGTTATTTAATACATAAATCTAGAAATCGTGCTCTCACAGCACGAGTTTGATAAAAATATTGAAATAAGAAATTGTGTCTGGGAAATAGGACTCTTAATTTGACATAGAAAATCAGAATCTCCCTAATCTTCTCATTGAAATTATGCTGAGTCCCAGTGAGATTCTGCTGCGTATAAGGCACCAAAACCCAATCCACTAAGATTAAGCCCCCCATTATTAGCCCTCTGAAAAACTGCCGAACACCAAATCTTCTTTCAATATTTTCACCAAACTCATTATGAGGATATGACTTCTGATTTCACCACGACTTCAATGACCTTACGGCACATATTATTCCGCATAAGGACAACACCACATTAATAATCCATGCATCACCCATGGATCTTATCTAACCTTATCATTTTTTTTCAACTGAAACTCCTTACATTTCTAACAAATACTAATACTTTCTAAACTTTTGTTCTTATATAGCATTCATAGTTAGAACTCCTAACACCTTAGATACTATGTGTTCCTAAATTAATGAAGATAACATCCTTATATCTTAGGTTTAATCCTTTTCGACATTCTTATTTATGTACGAATGTCTCAATTGGGTCCTCGTTTTCTAAAGTGTATCAAAATGGTCCTTAATTTTGTATCAATTGAATCTTTTCCGTTAAGTTGGCTGGACGGCGTTAAAAAAATTGATGAGTGGATGCTGAGATGACGAACAAACGCTCATCCACCAGGGAACGAACGCTCGTCCACCAACGAACGAACGTTCGTCGACCACCGAACGAACGCTCGTCCAGCAGTAAGAGGTCGACGAGCGTTCGTTCTCTGGTGGACGAGCGTTCGTTCGCTGGTGGACGAGCGTTTGTTCGTCATCTCAGCATCCACTCATCAATTTTTTTAACGTCGTCCAGCTAACTTAACGGAAAGGACTCAATTGATATCAATTTTCAAAATTAGGGACCATTTTGATACACTTTAAAAAACGAGAACCCAATTGAGACATTCGTACATAAGGGATGTCGAAAAGGATTAAACCTATATCTTACTTAACTTTGTCAATTTTTTTTTCTTCTTATATAGCGATTCATACTTAGAATTCCCAATACCTTTCCTTTCACTTCTCATGCCATGCAATCATCTCCTTCTTCCTTCCCTTACAGATTCAGATATGATGTGTTCCTCAGTTTTCGAGGGAAAGATACCCGCCAAGGTTTCACAGGAAATCTCTACAAATCTCTTTGTGACAGAGGAATTCACACCTTCATCGATGACCACCACCTTCCCAGAGGAGACCAGATTTCCTCTGAACTTGAGAACGCAATCCAAGACTCCAGAATTTTCATCATTGTCCTCTCTCAAAACTATGCATCTTCCTCCTTCTGCTTAAATGAACTTCATTACATCCTGAGGTTTATTAAGCATAAGGGTCGGTTGGTTTTCCCAGTTTTTTATGGAGTTGACCCTTCTCATGTGAGACACCACACAGGTACTTTTGGAGAGGCGTTGGCTCATCATCAAAATAATTCTTATTACAACTGGGAGAAGCTTGAGACATGGAAGATGGCTCTGCATCAAGTGGCTAACTTGTCTGGCTACCATTTCAAACATGGGTACACCATTCCTCTCCCATTATTTTCTTTTAAAACTTTTCATACTGATAAATTTTGGAGCACAGACTTTTAAAAAAGCATATAAAGAGTTTAGCTTGACTTCTCACAAAATTTTCTGATTGAACAGGGAAGGATATGAATATGAGTTCATTGAGAGGATTGTTGAGTTGGTCTGCAGCAAGATTAACCGTGCTGCTTTACATGTTGCGGATTACCCAGTTGGATTAGAGTCACAGGTGCTGGAAGTAAAGTTGCTTCTAGATGTTGGATGTGATGATGTTGTCCACATGGTGGGGTTCCACGGACTTGGTGGAGTAGGGAAAACGACACTTGCTGCTGCAGTTTATAATTCCATTGCTGACCATTTTGAAGCTTTATGTTTTCTTGAAAACGTGAGAGAAACTTCGAGCAAACATGGGTTACTGCATCTCCAAAGCAACCTTCTTTCTGAAACAGTAGGAGAGATTAAGTTAACAAGTGTCAAAAAGGGAATTTCTGTAATACAGCACAGGCTCCAGCAAAAGAAGGTTCTTTTGATTCTAGATGATGTTGACAAAGAGGAACAACTAAAGGCACTTGCTGGAAGACCACATTGGTTTGGTCTAGGCAGTAGAGTCATCATAACAACTCGAGACAAACAGTTGCTAAAATGTCATCGGGTTAAAAGAACATACGAAGTGAACGAATTGAATGAGGAAAATGCTCTTGAATTACTTACTTGGAAAGCTTTCAAGTTTGAACAATTTGATCCAAGTTACAAGGATGTTTTGAATCTGGCAGTAACTTATGCCTCGGGCCTTCCATTGGCTTTGGAAGTAATAGGTTCCAACTTATGTGGAAGAAATATAGAACAATGGAAGTATGCTTTGGATAAGTACAAGAAAATTCCTAAAATGGATATCCAGGACACACTTAAAGTGAGTTATGATGCTTTGGAAGAAGATGAACAGAGTGTTTTTCTTGACATTGCTTGTTTCTTCAAAAACTATGATTTGGCAGAGGTCGAAGATATACTTCGTGCTCATCATGGTCATAGCATTAAACATCATATTGACGTGTTGGTCGAAAAATCTTTCATAAAGATTAGTTTGGATGGTAAAGTGACACTACATAATCTGATAGAAGACATGGGTAGAGAAATTGTGCGGAGAGAATCACCCAAAGAGCCTGGGAAACGTAGCAGGTTATGGTTCCCTCAGGATATAGTTCAAGTTTTAGAAGACAATAAGGTGAATAAGATTGATTAATTGGATGGTTTGGTTTTTCCTCTTTAACATGGAACTATCCCTTTTGAATATTATATGTTCGTGTCATGTCACAGTTACTTGTATTGTATGCTTTATAATTTGTACACTTCTCTATGTATGCATGTTGAAATCCTAATATTGAATCATGTCTTGTGGTTGTTTCATGATTTTTCTATTGAAAGGGAACTGGTCAGATTGAAATCATATGCGTAGATTTCCCTTCATTTGAAGAAGTGGAAATAGAATGGGATGGAGATGCCTTCAAAAAGATGAAAAATCTCAGAACACTTATTATCAGAAATTGTCATTTCTCCAAAGGTCCAAAACATCTTCCTAATTCTTTGAGAGTGATGGAATGGTGGAGATATCCTTCACAGAATTTTCCACAGGATTTTCATCCGAAGAAACTTGCTGTATTCAAGTTACCATACTGTGAGTTTACATCACTAGAGTTGACTGACTTATTAAGACAGGCAAGTGTATTGAGTTCATTTCCTTGTTTCTGTAACTTGATAACTTCACTTCAAGGCCATTTATGTGTTTCCATGTGATGTTTATATCCGTAAGTTATCTTTTACTTTGTTGATTTGCTTTCTTTTTGTATGTTGCAGAAGTTTGTGAATATGACAAGTTTAAATTTTGACGAATGTCGATATTTGAAACAGATACCTGATGTATCTTGTCTCATACATTTGGAAAATTTGTCATTTCGATGGTGTCCAAAATTATCTTCACTTCACTACTCAGTCGGGTTCTTGGAAAAACTTAAAATCTTAGATGCAGAAGGTTGCTCCAGGCTCAAGAGTTTTCCTCCAATCAAGTTAACTTCTCTTGAGCAACTCAAACTTCGGTATTGTCACAGTCTTCAAAATTTTCCAGAAGTATTAGGAAACATGGAATATGTAAGAGAACTTGACTTGAAAGAAACTCCTGTAAAAAAATTCCCACCTTCATTTCGAAATCTTACACGGCTGCAAAAGTTACATCTGTGTTTGAGTGTTCGAGTAATGAAAAGTGGTTGTGATGGCCTTCCCCTTTCAAGCATTTGCATGATGCCAGAACTGGTTGATATTGCAGCAAATGAATGGGAAGGGGGGCTTTTCCGTGAAGCCAATGAGGGTGCAGAAAAAGTGAGCTCAATCTTGTCTACAAACGTTCAATATCTTCAACTCAGATGCTGCAACTTAACAGATGATTTTTTTCCAACACTTCTCCCATGGTTTGCTAATATGAAGAACTTAGACCTATCAGGGAATAATTTCACAGTCATTCCAGAATGCATCAAAGAATTCCACTTTTTAACAAGGCTTAATTTGAACTTCTGTGAGCGACTTCAAGAAATTAGAGGCATTCCTCCAAACCTGAAACATTTCTTTGCAATAGATTGTCAATCCTTGACTTCCTCATGTAGAAGCATGTTACTAAATCAGGTATTGATTTTACACATTGAATAAGAACGAGCAAGTTGAACAATATATAAGGAAAATTTTAAATTGAAGGTGGTATTTTCAATATCAGAATTGTATATCATGCGCCTAAACTTGATAAATTGTTTATGATTAACAGGAACTGCATGAGGCTGGAAGCACCTTCTTTTATTTGCCAGGAGCCAAGATTGCAGAGTGGTTTGAGATTCAAACATTGGAACTGCCAATTTCTTTCTGGTTTCGTGGCAAACTCCCAGCCATGGCTATTTGTCTTGCAATGGAACGAGTGTGGGAGTATTCCTCATCAGAAGGTGGTAAATACAGACCCTTGGTGATCCATAGCACATTTAGACTCATGTCACCCATTGTGATCATCAATGGCAACGAACATTTGTTAGAAACTTGGGAGATGTTGGATGATTGTACTTGTGTTTTTGACCTGAGGGAGACAAAACTGAAAAATGATTTAGATGAAGAACTTGTGGAAAACGAATGGAACCATGCAGAGGTTACGTGTCGATACGTGAGTTTAGACCAAACCTTAATAAAACATGGAATCCATGTATTTAAACAGGAAAGTAGCGTGGAAGAGATTCGATTCACTGATCCTTCCAGAAAAAGAAATCTTGATATGATGAACTCAATAGCTCAAAATCACAGCAGCAACAGTTGCTGAAAAAACAAAGATGAGTGCACAAAGAAGTTGGTGAAACACAGTTTGTGCAGCAGGGAAAACTGTCCAACACCACTGTTTCTCATTTCTTCATGCTTCAGCAATCAATTGGTTACTGTGAATAATTCTACCATCATATGTTAGTATTTCATGTGCAGTGTGACCTTTTTCATTCTCTACTCTACTTTTGAAGTTTAATTGAGATTATGACATTGTTGATCCAGGTCTGAGTATCATAGTTCAACATTGTTTATTAATAAATGTCATTAATTATTTCTCCCACGTTAAAGTGGTGTTTATTTTTCCACCAATATCATTAGGATTATTTTATTGTTAATCTAGGCTGCAATTATTTTCTAAGCAACTTCAATTAATATTTTCTTAGTCAACATTAACTATATTTCTAAGTTGATATCGAACATATTCTTTAGTTGTTTTTCAATCAATATCACTTGAAATATATTTTTTATACAACGGAGTTTAAAATTACCTCTCGATTAACATAGTTAAAAACTATTATTATTTCACACTTGCTTAAGTCAAAATTTTCTTGGAAGAAGAATATTTTTTAGCAAAATTATAGTTGTTCCTATTATAGTTATTCGGTTTGAAAATTAAGCTCGTAATGCACTTATGCCATTTGGTTAGCCATTACTCTAAATGCATTTTCATGTTAACTAACTTTTTTATTTCATATTTATTTTACTTTCTTTATCAAAAGTACGGATTTAGGCAACCTTGAAATTCATTTGTCACACGATTAACAAATAACCAAAGTTAGGTTTAAAAGTTTTACATAACGATAATAAATAAAAACAAAAAAACATTAATTAGAGTCGTATATTAACTACACGACTTTTCCAGTTATATTGAAGTCTTGTTAGTATAACACAACTTTAACTTTAGTGTGAAAAGGTTGTGTTATTTGAATACGATTTCTTTTTCATTAGACAAACAAGACTTTTCCACATTTCTACTATTTAAAAAACTATAAATTTGATAAAATTAAAATGAATTGCCCTAGTCTAGTAAACAAATAAAATGTGTGATATTCCATTGAGGTAAAAAGAAATAAAGTAAATTTACTTACTTGTCAATATAAATTGTTCGGTATAGAAGAAAATGAAGACACAGAGATTTGTTTAACCAAATTTAAATTGTAGATCTTGATATCCATAAACTTTTTCTTGTTATAAGTGATAGTAGATATTTTGTCTTAAAGTGTTATCTAACAGTTATCTAGATACATATATGATGTTAGACACCTTATAGCATTAGACTCATCTTATTTGTTTAGTGCATATGAAGATCCGTAGTAGATTATTTAGTAATTTTCTATTAAAGTTAGTTAGAAAGTCTTTTATAGCCTTTTATATGATAGGCTCATGCTTATTGTTGTATATGAGATATCGATTTACAATAATGATAAATATAAGTGCTGAATTGTAAATATACAAGACATTCTTTGTTATCTCTTCTTACTTTAAGAGTTTTTTCATTTTTAATCTTTTTAGGTATGATTTTCTGTCGATCATGCAGGATAAACAGCAAGTCGAATTATATATTGAATTTTCATTTTAATTTTAAAACTTACTTTAACAATTTTCTTTGTATGTGTTTGCAGTTGAATGTCTAATCATAATGTCATGGACATAATTGGTCATGTGCTTAGGTTGCAAAGGATGTCATTTGCTTAGGTTAGGATAGTTTAAGGTGTTTTCGCATCATGATTTGAATGAATTATCATAGTAATCATTCTTTTATTATGATAAATTTGACTTATTCCTTTTTGTTTTTACATGTTTCTTATGTTACAAACTAGACTAGAGTTATTTAGATGATGACTAAAAAATTCAAAAGATCCATAAAACTAAAAGGGTCAACTCAGTTCGTTTAAGTCTGTCCTAATATTAGTCCGTCAAAAATAGGTCGAACCGAGCTTGCTTGTTGTCAGAACCTATTAAAATATATCCAACGCCACCTGTGAGTATCATTAAATGCACCCACGACACTTGCTCAGATGCATTAAAAATGCACTCAAACTCTGACGCACAAATTGCCAAGTGTCAAAATGGAACATTCGGAAGTCAGTAAGTGGAGTGCAGGTGTCAGCAGAAGAGCGCACGACCGTTTGACGTGGGGCAAACAAAAATGATTTCTGAAAAACCTGCCACACTCTTCTGCACGCATTGTCTTCCTCCCAAACTCTGAATATCCATTTTCTCCTCCTTCTCTCTAGAAAACTCTTCCTTCTCTCTACTGAAACTCATCCTTTCTCTTCTCCGTTCATCATTCAGAAACCATAGAAGTACTCCCGGCATCGTGAGCTTCTTACTGGACCGAACAATTTCAAAGTCTGAAGCTGGTAAGTTCTCGACCTTAGCTGTTCGTTTTTGGGTTACCTGCAAAACCAAGATTTGGTTGCATGCAGGGGTACAATCTAAATTCTTATGTATTTTTATGGTTAGACTTAGTTGGAGGAATTAAGAAAATCGTTGAGGGTAGAAAGCTGTAGTTGGACGAATCAAAATCATACTCTTAGGACGTTCACCACTGATCCAGGTAAGGGAAGCTTATTCAATTTAATTCGTATGTTTTATTTGTGCTGTATGGACGTTTTTGTGTTGCATGAAGCATGATCTATGTTATTGGATTTTTGATATCTGATCATAAGTATGAACTGAAGTATGTTGAATATGAGATGTATTATGATATGATTATTTGAAAGTATGAAATGTATATGCTGAAAAATGAGTAAATGGAATTGAAATCTTTAAATATGAACTTCCCTATGATAACGTACGTTCGTCATTGAATGGTCCTTGACCGTTCGGTGTTGTTAGTAAACTTCTTTGAAATGGAATTCTTTCATTTGGAAAGAATTCTAGTTGAGGACGAACGCCCTCTTGTATTAGTGCTACGTTTGAGCGTTCGGCCAAACGTAGATGCCCTGAGTGTTAAGTGAGGAGTGGAGAAGCTTGAAAATATATATATTCGGACACTTAGTCATTCTTAAAAACCTAACTTTATCATCTCGTCTTATATAAATTTCTATTTCTAATATTAATTCGAACCAGTGATGAGTCTCGACCCAAAGCGTTCGTTATGAGTGGCGCTCGGTCTTATACCGAACGCTCGTCCTTGTCTTTAATTACCAAACGGGTGGAAATAGCGTTCGTCCAAAATTTCAGTAAATACGTATTATCGCGTTCGGTCATTGACTGGCAGTCGGTATTTATAATTGAATTGATCTCGGTATAGTTCTTTATTCGTCTTGTGGTGTCTATATCCATTTGGATTCGACCTAGAGCCTTTGTACTTAACTTATTTTGAGTATTGATCGGATCTTCCTAGAGTCAGTTCATTTAACTGATTCAAGTGGTAATGACGTTCGTCATATAATATGTGTCGGTTTTATTCTGTTTGAAACGAGGATTTCCTCGGTCTCGTTTTTAACGTTCGTCCTCGTTATGAAGAGGGCTGAACGTTCGTCCTTTTATGTAATTAGAACGGAAGATGAAAATGATATTAAGGTGAAAAAATTATAAAGAATGAACAGTATAAGAGATGAAATGATGGTTGTGGATTTTGAACGAGCGTTCCAGGGAGGAACGACTCTTGGATGAAAGTTGGAATTTGTAAAGAATGAATGTGGACAAAGCTTAGCTGGTGATTCATCCTGATGTTCCGTGAGTGCTCGTCCTCACGTAGAGGGGAGTATGTCATGTGTGGGAACGGCAGGAGGTCTTAGTCCTTAGGGGTACTTTGGATGGAAGGGACTAACCTCGGGTGGCAGTTGATGATAAATTCCAGTTACTACACCACCTGGGTGCACGAACGTCGTAGCTACACAGAATTCATACAGTCCGGACAGTCAGTCTAGTATCAGGAATTGATTGAGTTAAAGAATTGAGTGAATTATATGTTGTGAATTATTCGATATGTTCGATGTGTTATGAAATGCATGTTATTACTTGAATTAAATTCAATAAGCTTACCCTTCGTTTTTCCTTGTGTTGTCTCGTNAGTGGTTGTGATGGCCTTCCCCTTTCAAGCATTTGCATGATGCCAGAACTGGTTGATATTGCAGCAAATGAATGGGAAGGGGGGCTTTTCCGTGAAGCCAATGAGGGTGCAGAAAAAGTGAGCTCAATCTTGTCTACAAACGTTCAATATCTTCAACTCAGATGCTGCAACTTAACAGATGATTTTTTTCCAACACTTCTCCCATGGTTTGCTAATATGAAGAACTTAGACCTATCAGGGAATAATTTCACAGTCATTCCAGAATGCATCAAAGAATTCCACTTTTTAACAAGGCTTAATTTGAACTTCTGTGAGCGACTTCAAGAAATTAGAGGCATTCCTCCAAACCTGAAACATTTCTTTGCAATAGATTGTCAATCCTTGACTTCCTCATGTAGAAGCATGTTACTAAATCAGGTATTGATTTTACACATTGAATAAGAACGAGCAAGTTGAACAATATATAAGGAAAATTTTAAATTGAAGGTGGTATTTTCAATATCAGAATTGTATATCATGCGCCTAAACTTGATAAATTGTTTATGATTAACAGGAACTGCATGAGGCTGGAAGCACCTTCTTTTATTTGCCAGGAGCCAAGATTGCAGAGTGGTTTGAGATTCAAACATTGGAACTGCCAATTTCTTTCTGGTTTCGTGGCAAACTCCCAGCCATGGCTATTTGTCTTGCAATGGAACGAGTGTGGGAGTATTCCTCATCAGAAGGTGGTAAATACAGACCCTTGGTGATCCATAGCACATTTAGACTCATGTCACCCATTGTGATCATCAATGGCAACGAACATTTGTTAGAAACTTGGGAGATGTTGGATGATTGTACTTGTGTTTTTGACCTGAGGGAGACAAAACTGAAAAATGATTTAGATGAAGAACTTGTGGAAAACGAATGGAACCATGCAGAGGTTACGTGTCGATACGTGAGTTTAGACCAAACCTTAATAAAACATGGAATCCATGTATTTAAACAGGAAAGTAGCGTGGAAGAGATTCGATTCACTGATCCTTCCAGAAAAAGAAATCTTGATATGATGAACTCAATAGCTCAAAATCACAGCAGCAACAGTTGCTGAAAAAACAAAGATGAGTGCACAAAGAAGTTGGTGAAACACAGTTTGTGCAGCAGGGAAAACTGTCCAACACCACTGTTTCTCATTTCTTCATGCTTCAGCAATCAATTGGTTACTGTGAATAATTCTACCATCATATGTTAGTATTTCATGTGCAGTGTGACCTTTTTCATTCTCTACTCTACTTTTGAAGTTTAATTGAGATTATGACATTGTTGATCCAGGTCTGAGTATCATAGTTCAACATTGTTTATTAATAAATGTCATTAATTATTTCTCCCACGTTAAAGTGGTGTTTATTTTTCCACCAATATCATTAGGATTATTTTATTGTTAATCTAGGCTGCAATTATTTTCTAAGCAACTTCAATTAATATTTTCTTAGTCAACATTAACTATATTTCTAAGTTGATATCGAACATATTCTTTAGTTGTTTTTCAATCAATATCACTTGAAATATATTTTTTATACAACGGAGTTTAAAATTACCTCTCGATTAACATAGTTAAAAACTATTATTATTTCACACTTGCTTAAGTCAAAATTTTCTTGGAAGAAGAATATTTTTTAGCAAAATTATAGTTGTTCCTATTATAGTTATTCGGTTTGAAAATTAAGCTCGTAATGCACTTATGCCATTTGGTTAGCCATTACTCTAAATGCATTTTCATGTTAACTAACTTTTTTATTTCATATTTATTTTACTTTCTTTATCAAAAGTACGGATTTAGGCAACCTTGAAATTCATTTGTCACACGATTAACAAATAACCAAAGTTAGGTTTAAAAGTTTTACATAACGATAATAAATAAAAACAAAAAAACATTAATTAGAGTCGTATATTAACTACACGACTTTTCCAGTTATATTGAAGTCTTGTTAGTATAACACAACTTTAACTTTAGTGTGAAAAGGTTGTGTTATTTGAATACGATTTCTTTTTCATTAGACAAACAAGACTTTTCCACATTTCTACTATTTAAAAAACTATAAATTTGATAAAATTAAAATGAATTGCCCTAGTCTAGTAAACAAATAAAATGTGTGATATTCCATTGAGGTAAAAAGAAATAAAGTAAATTTACTTACTTGTCAATATAAATTGTTCGGTATAGAAGAAAATGAAGACACAGAGATTTGTTTAACCAAATTTAAATTGTAGATCTTGATATCCATAAACTTTTTCTTGTTATAAGTGATAGTAGATATTTTGTCTTAAAGTGTTATCTAACAGTTATCTAGATACATATATGATGTTAGACACCTTATAGCATTAGACTCATCTTATTTGTTTAGTGCATATGAAGATCCGTAGTAGATTATTTAGTAATTTTCTATTAAAGTTAGTTAGAAAGTCTTTTATAGCCTTTTATATGATAGGCTCATGCTTATTGTTGTATATGAGATATCGATTTACAATAATGATAAATATAAGTGCTGAATTGTAAATATACAAGACATTCTTTGTTATCTCTTCTTACTTTAAGAGTTTTTTCATTTTTAATCTTTTTAGGTATGATTTTCTGTCGATCATGCAGGATAAACAGCAAGTCGAATTATATATTGAATTTTCATTTTAATTTTAAAACTTACTTTAACAATTTTCTTTGTATGTGTTTGCAGTTGAATGTCTAATCATAATGTCATGGACATAATTGGTCATGTGCTTAGGTTGCAAAGGATGTCATTTGCTTAGGTTAGGATAGTTTAAGGTGTTTTCGCATCATGATTTGAATGAATTATCATAGTAATCATTCTTTTATTATGATAAATTTGACTTATTCCTTTTTGTTTTTACATGTTTCTTATGTTACAAACTAGACTAGAGTTATTTAGATGATGACTAAAAAATTCAAAAGATCCATAAAACTAAAAGGGTCAACTCAGTTCGTTTAAGTCTGTCCTAATATTAGTCCGTCAAAAATAGGTCGAACCGAGCTTGCTTGTTGTCAGAACCTATTAAAATATATCCAACGCCACCTGTGAGTATCATTAAATGCACCCACGACACTTGCTCAGATGCATTAAAAATGCACTCAAACTCTGACGCACAAATTGCCAAGTGTCAAAATGGAACATTCGGAAGTCAGTAAGTGGAGTGCAGGTGTCAGCAGAAGAGCGCACGACCGTTTGACGTGGGGCAAACAAAAATGATTTCTGAAAAACCTGCCACACTCTTCTGCACACAAAATCTTCCTCCCAAACTCTGAATATCCATTTTCTCCTCCTTCTCTCTAGAAAACTCTTCCTTCTCTCAACTGAAACTCATCCTTTCTCTTCTCCGTTCATCATTCAGAAACCATAGAAGTACTCCCGGCATCGTGAGCTTCTTGCTGGACCGAACAGTTTCAGAGTCTGAAGCTGGTAAGTTCTCGACCTTAGCTGTTCGTTTTTGGGTTACCTGCAAAACCAAGATTTGGTTGCATGCAGGGGTACAATCTAAATTCTTATGTATTTTTATGGTTAGACTTAGTTGGAGGAATTAAGAAAATCGTTGAGGGTAGAAAGCTGTAGTTGGACGAATCAAAATCATACTCTTAGGACGTTCACCACTGATCCAGGTAAGGGAAGCTTATTCAATTTAATTCGTATGTTTGTATTGTACTGTATGAACGTTCTGTGTGTTGCATGAAGTATGATCTGTATTATTTGATTGTTGGTATATGATTATGATTATGAGTTGATGTATGAGAAGTATGAAATGTACTATGATATGAGTATTTGAAAGTATGAAAGTTTATGCTGAGAAATGAGTTTAATGTAAATGAAACTTTGAATATGAATTTCCTATGATAATGAACGTTCGTCATTGAACGGTCCTTGACCGTTCGGTGTTGTTACCAAACTTCTTTGAAATTGAATTCTTTCATTTGGAAAGAATTCTAGTTGAGGACGAACGCCCTCTTGCATTAAGTGCTACGTTTGAGCGTTCGGCCAAAACGTAGATACCCTGAGTGTTGTGTGAGGAATTGAGAAACTTGTAAACATAACTGGATACTTAGTCATTCTGAATTCTATCTTCACTATCCTATATTATCCTTATTACTTTTTCTATTATGAATTCAAATCAGCGATGAGTCTCGACCCAAAGCGTACGTTATGAGTGGCGCTCGGTCTTATACCGAACGCTCGTCCTTGTCTTTAATTACCAAACAGGTGGAAATAGCGTTCGTCCAAAATTTCAGTAAATACGTATTACCGCGTTCGGTCATTGACTGGCAGTCGGTCTCTCTAATTGAATTGTTCTCGGTATAGTTATTTACTCGTCTTGTGGTGTCTCTATCCATTTGGATTCGGCCTAGAGCCTTGGTACTTAACTTATTCTGAGTATTGATCGGATCGTTCTAGAGTCAGTTCATTCAACTGATTCGAGTGGTAATGACGTTAGTCATCTGATATGTGTCGGTTTTGTTCTGTTCGGAAACGAGGATTTCTCGGTCTCGTTTTTTTAACGTTCTTCCTCGTTATGAAGAGAGCTGAACGCTCGTTATTTGATGAAATTGAAATGGAAGACGAAAATGAGATTAAAGTGAAGAATTATAAGGAATGAACAGTATATGAGATAAAATGATGGTTGTGGATTTTGAACGAGCGTTCCAGGGAGGAACGACTCTTGGATGAAAGTTGGAATTTGTAAAGTATGAATGTGGACAAAGCTTAGCTGGCGATTCATCCTGATGTTCCGTGAGTGCTCGTCCTCACGTAGAGGGGAGTATGTCATGTGTGGGAACGGCAGGAGGTCCTAGTCCTTAGGGGTACTTTGGATGGAAGGGACTAACCTCGGGTGGCAGCTGATGATAAATTCCAGTTACTACACCACCTGGGTGCACGAACGTCGTAGCTACACAGAATTCATACGGTCCGGACAATTAGTCTAGTATCAGGAATTGATTGAGTTAAAGAATTGAGTGAATTATATGTTGTGAATTATTCGATATGTTGGATGTGTTATGAAATGCATGTTATTACTTGAATTAAATTCAATAAGCTTACCCTTCGTTTTTCCTTGTGTTGTCTCGTCCTTGTACGTCCGTCCTTGTCAATTGCAATGATCATCCGTGTGGATGTGAGCAGATGGAGAGGCGTTGCTTGAGGAGACGCTTGAAGAAGGAATCTTAGAGGAAGAAAATCTCGTCGATGTTGAAGTGAAGGCCGAACAGTAGTACGTTCGGTTATCTGTTTAGTTTAGTTAGATTAAGAGTGCTGTATTAGAACGACCCCTCCCCTTTTTGATTAATTTGACCGTTCGGTATTTCTATTTTGTAAACCGTTCGGTCAGGTATGCTTAGATTGAACATCTTTATTTGTAGCAGCTTATGTAAGGCCGTTCGGCCAAGAGCGTACTTTATTCTCTTTAATTGTAAGACTGAATTGATATATTAATATATGTGAATATTCTATTTGTATGGTTTATGACTGTATTTATGGGATGTTACAACTTTCAGCATAAAAGCTTGTGGAATGGTAGCCATGGGTGCTGTGATTGTTTGAGAGGGCAAGGGTTTAAACCTTCCCTACGTACTTTAACAAATAAAACTATTATCCCTTTCCTTCAATTCTTTTATTCATACTTCAGGAGGGACCCACGTCAATTAATATCTTAAAATGATAGCTTAATAAGATTGAGTTATCTTATCTTCCTGCAATAGAAAAGAAAATAATATTCAAGCACATATAATAATTCATTATTTGAATATACATGTTTAATAATGTACAACTCACCACTCCTAGTTCCTATACATAAAACTAATAATAGCTAGCTACCATCCTATCTAGTGTTGAACTGCAATTACCTCACAGTTCACAAACATACCCCGGTTCTTATGACACAACAATGATTTTCTCCTTCGGATATCTGTTACTCAGAAACAACTACTCACATTGTCTACCACTACCATGGTCCTGTAAGTGTCCTTCTCAAGCATTGTATTTTACTTACCCTTGGCTGGCATGCAGAGTCTGAATCCTGCTTAGATAAACAAATAAAAAATGTTTATTTGGCTTTCAAACTGTGAAAATAAATTGAAAAATAATTTATGTTGGTAAATCTCTCTATTGGTGTCAACCAGTAGAAAAAAGTGAGGAAAGAGCCATTTGATGAAGAGAACATTGGCAGAGATTCATATGCAAAACAGATCATACCTTGTTTTTCTGCATTTCCTTAATTTCTGCCTGTAACAAACCAATTGTAATCAGAGAAGACCAAAACCTTTGTATACATTTTACTGATAAGTGATAAGGATGTGGTGCAGAATGACAGCATACCTGTTTTCTTTCCAATTCTCTGTTTATTTTCTTAAGTTTTGCAACTTCAGCTTCTAGTTCGAAAGTGTAGGCCCGTCATTCACAAGAGATAGAATATTATAGTTACGTGCCTTATAGAAGATCCACCCACACAGTAAATTACTAGAGTTTTTTTTTTTTTT